ATTTTGCTACCTGTTTGATAAGATAGTCGTGCACTGTATCATGTGGTCTCTCTTGTTGGAGTTCTATTGCGACGAAACAGTTTTGTCTTCACTTTGAGTAGATCTAGTCATGTTCGTGCGTTGGTTAATTAATCAGTAGATACATATCTCTTATCTCCTTTTACAGGCATCCTAGCAAGATTGCTCCGTTGTACAGGGTGGTAAATAATATTATTCCAGGGGGGTAACACTATGATCTCGAATCGGAGATATCATGAATTTTATACCAAATGAAAGCTCGTGAAAAATGGGGTTTAGTGATAGTAAATAGTAAGACTTTGAAGAACTTTCTTGTATTAATTTATCAAACGTTACGATTTTTATCGACATAAAATATTATAAAATCAGTTCATCGAAAAAGTTCGGGGCTAAACTATATGTTGTACAACTGTTTATTTTCTTATTATTTATTGAGTACAATCAATAATCAGTATGACGACCATTAGCACTCTTTACTGCACGAAGTCGAGATGGATACGAACATAAAAGAGCTTCAAACAATTCGGGATTTTCTTCCATGTCCGTCAAAACATCCGCAATGTGCTTTTTAAGTGTGTCTTCACTATATCGATTATGTCCAGTTTCCGATAACATTTTTTGTTCAACTTCATCTTTCATTATTGATCCAATATGTTCCGCCGCATTGAGATCGGGCGAATTACCAGGCCAAATATCATTGCCCCAAAACTCGATTTTGTTATCTCTAATCAGATGTTGAGTCATGTTTGCTCGCATACACGGTGCTTTATCGTGAACAAATATCACATTATCCAGATCAATTACGTTTTCCTCGTCGGTGAGGAATGGAAATACGTGTTGCATTAAAATAATGTCACGAAAATATTGACCGGTCCAAGATTCACCTTTGTCTTTAATCACCCAATGCATTTTTTTCGCGGTGAAAATGATAAAAATACCGATACACGCTTGGTTTTTAACCATTTCGCGATACCTTTCATCGTCTTCAATATCTTCAACACTTTTTGCCCAAATCCTATCATTTTGATAATTTGGTTTGCGAACTGTCCAAACATAAAATTCATCTGATGGTGCCAGATGAAGAAAATCTTCTTCAGTCCAATCTTTCAACCAATCACAGAGCCATAATCGATCTGATATATGAGTTTCAGATTTTAACGGTCTTGAAATAACATGAAAAGGCTTTAATCCTTCCTTACGACGGTAGTTATTAACTGTTTGTCGAGTAACATATTCTTTTTGTTTCTTTGCAATCTCTTTCGCCACGACAGAACCGCTTTTCCGTTGGTGACCACTTGCTTCACGAATAATGTCCTGAGCAGCTCTCGATAACTTGAGTTTAGGACCAGCATTCGAATAATCAGCAAAACATTGGTCACACGATTTTTCCCACCATTCTGTAACAAATCGAGTCGTACGGTGAATTTTGTCGGCAATCCATTGTCTATTTATAAATGTTGCACCAGCATCACGAGCTTCTCGGAAAGTAATGCATTTAATTCTATCAATCATTCTTTGTTGTTCGGTATCATAAGCGCCAGCCATTTGAAATAACAAACGAAAAAACACTGAGATTTCACTAGACTATAACTTTCAGACAGTCCGAGAACGAAAAAATTTTTCAAATAACTAGTATCACGTGGAGAGAAGAACAGAACGCCAAAGAACCATCTTATTGTGTGAGTCATAGTCATATATCATCATCGTTATCATTTCTCTTTCGTTTTCATAAAAAATGTTCGTTTTCAATGTCTCAAAATGTATGAAAAATGATTTTTAACGTGTTTTTGAAAGAAAATCTCGTTGTTTTTAAAAATTTGGTACACGAAAGTTCTTCAAAGTCTTACTATTTACTATCACTAAACCCCATTTTTCACGGGCTTTCATTTGGTATAAAATTCATGATATCTCCGATTCGAGATCATACTGTTACCCCCCTGGAATAATATTATTTACCACCCTGTATGCAAGTTATTTGTTGATACATCCTAAGATAACTATAAAATCTTCGAAATTCGAGTCTCATTTGCTTTAAATAGCAGATTTTTTTTACTTGTAATTTGCTTTCGGCGAACTTTTATTTGTTCTTTCCGCAATACAACTGAAGTAAGCAGAAAGAGAGGATATTGAAAGAAACTTTTCATTTTTAAAGATGTAGATTGATCTTTCTATGTGCATTTATTGAGATCGAGTGTCTGTTTTCATCTACGCTGTAGGTTTTTTTCTTTCGCATCTGATTTCTCACAGTACACATGTACTCGTTTCCAAATATTTTTCTCCTCTATACATATTTCTTCAATATGAGTACATCTTCAATCTTTGCAATCTGTTGGGTAACAGTTTTGATTTCTATTTTCGAAGCTTTCAAACAATAGGTCAAACACGTCAATAGACCATGTCGTCTTTTCAAATTCTTTTATAGCCGATAATAATTTGCAATCATCCCTGTTCTCCTGATGAGATTGTGTTCTGGAAGCTGACTCGACAGAATATACAATATTCTGCTTGAAAATAGTAGAAAACTCTTTCTTTCAAACAGCTTCAAGAATATAATCTCAAACGAAGCATAGTGGTGATATTAATCCATGCCATGCCGCTGGGAAGCGTCAAGCACGATGATAAGTGGTTGATTATTATTTATAGAGTGGATTCTACAACCGTTCCTCCTTACTGAAAAAATATATGAGAAGAGGAAAGAGACATGATAAGAGTCGAAGACAAGGAGATATTCAGAAGAACAAAACATGTACTAAAATTACTATTAAAATATACAAATAACGATGCAAAATGGCCACAGAACAATGTGTCCCACTGGCTTATAAGAAATGCATAAAATTGTTGCAACAGACGTATTTTCATGATCGATCAGTAATCATTTCATAAGTAGAAGAAAATCATTTTATGACCTCAAGCTGGGGCCGTTTCGCATCGTATTTTCATTTTTTTACATCCATCTGATATCATTTTTTTGTTAATGCAATACTCTGGGACTCAACCATAAAATTGTATGTTTTGATCAATGATGGTTGCTGAAAATGTGAGACTATTCGATGTAGAATCGAATTCTGCAGCCAGCACAACCAATTAGAATAATAGCACAAGTCGTAGAGCAAATCTGAAGGGAATTCATCGAATATAGTGCTAACTTTACCTATGTGATTTGAATTCATCGCTTTTCCTTTTCTCATGATCAATCTATTTGCTGTGGTTAGTTGTGTTTTTCGACGGTGTGGATGTTTCCACTCACACCCACACCCTCGAATAAGCAGATAAAACACACATGTATTGCAATCTTACCTATCTTTCATTGATTCATTTTTTTGTAACAGCATAACGAGCTTCATACAGTTTGCTTTACTCCATGTCGATGCCTACTACAATAACATCAGAACAAGTCGAAAAAACACTGGCTTGGGTTCGAGCATATTTCGAAGCATGCGACTCATTAGATATACCAACTTTGATCACAAAATTTTATCATCCTGATGTCATCGTACATTATGGCAATCTACCGACGATGAAAGGACATAAATCGGTTCTGGATTACTTCAGCGGAGTTTGCGCTCAAATATCAAGCATGAAAAACATAGTCGAACATGTCGAAGTTTTACCCGAACGAGTCTACGCTCACATCGAAGGCACCGCTTTTGTCAAGAACGACCCTGAACAAAAACCGATCACCATCAAGGGACTTGTTGTATTTGGGAAAAAAGTCGATGAGGACAAAGTAATCTATTGTGACGCTTTCCTAGACCCGTCTCCTCTTTTCGAACGGATCAAAATGTACGCTTAAAAATATCCTCGCCAATTTTTTAAAAACCCACATTATTCTAAACTAATAAACTATTTGAAAAATAATGTAATCGAGTCACTCAGCATTTTTACTTCTTTATGCCATAAGGTAGTCGGTGGCATTCAACAGATACTACTCATCAGAGATGTAGTGAACTGCATAACTTGAGGGTATGGGTGTGGGTGTGGGGTGTGGGGTGTGGGTGTGGGATGCGGGTGTGGGTATGATGTGGGTGTGGAGTGTGGTTGAGGGTCTTCAGGTCGTATCCATATCCTCCCCACACCCACACCCTCGTTGGGTTCTTGAAAACGGTCTATCGATTGATTGGCATATGTGTGAGTGCTCGCCTATCTCCTCATGGATATACAGCGTGCAAGCTTTGATTGGTCGTGTAATACAGAGGTGTTGGGAGGTTTTATAGTACTTTCGTATACGGTGGTCGCATTGCCACTCTGATCGTTTGCGGTGAGCGTATGCGACCGATGTTTACAGTGGCTGTGGAATGGCATAATGGAATCAGTACGGTTGCTGTAAACGGCATTCGAAAACGGTTGATGTGTACGATGGCTTATGTTATTTTCCGAGCAAAGTATACGGTCGCCGTATGTTTACGGTAGCCGTTTACGGCAGACTTTTTGCGGGTAACGTGTACGATTCACGTAGTATGCTGTAAATGATCGTGTACAGCAGCCGTAAACAGCTACCGTAAACAATCGTCGTTTTTCGCCGTATTCGGTTCGTTTATGGCCGCCGTAAATAGCTATCGTATACAGTCGTCGTGATCTGCTGTATTCGATTGGTGAACGGCCGTTTACGGCCAGGCGTGATTGACCTGGGTGGAAGTTGATAAATATTTGTTCCTTCTAGGTAGGGGTGTCAATTTACATTTACTTTAAATTTAATTTACACGTAAATTAAATGAAAAGTAAATGCAAATTGACACTCTTAATTTATAATAAATATAAATTTCTCATAATTTATTTTTTGTTATAAATCAAATGGTAAATGACACCCCTAGTGTCACTTTACATTTACTTTTCATTTAATTTACGCGTAAATTAAATTATGAAAAATTTATATGTATTATAAATTAAATGGTAAATGACACCCCTACTTCTAGGACGAGATAATATAGATTACTATTATTTCGAATGATTCTCTCTTGATTATCATTCAAATTGATGAATTGTTAATTCAAAATTTCAAAGACGTGATCTTCATCACTAATCAATGGTATACCAATTTCAAATAATTCTTCATAATCAATAAGTAAATCTCTAAGTTGATGTTTTATAGTTCCTGTTCTATTCAATGTTAATAAACGTTGCATATATGACGTCGATAATCGATGAATATTAGCTTCATATCGTGCTAATGTAAGTTGATCGTGATAGTAATGATCAAATAAATTTGAATCATCAAAAATTTTATTGCTAAATTCTTCATAAATACTTCTATTAATTAACTGCTTCCAAGAAAAATCTATTATATATTCATTATTATTTTGATAATATTGTGGAATATTCATACGTATTTGAGAAATAATTTCGTATGCATTTGTTGCACATGATAAATGTAAATAAAAAATAAGAGGAATTTCGATATTAGTTTGATTGATTGATGACATATCGACTGTGTTAATTATTTTAATCCAACAATCAAACCAAATTACACGTAAGTTTTTATTAATTTCTTCATCGGCATTATTTAAAAATATATAAGGCTAATTCCATGGGAAGTCAACCACAAAAAACGTAAAGTATTTTAAAAGTTTTCTTTTCTATTAGGTTTTGTAGAGCTTTTTTCGCTGATCATTTTGGTAAAAAAAACTTTTTGAATTTTATTGAGAAATGACAATGTTGTAGTCAAAATACTAAACACTGTAAAATAGCTTAA